TAAATGATGCATAAAAATAGGTGTCTCTCTCCAAGGCAATCGTCCGGAAAGCATTTCTTCAATACCATTCTGCTCTGTGGGGCAGAAAAAAAAAGTACAAATAGTTATCTTAAAGTTAATATTGCCAATACTTAAAAAAAAAAAGTTCGTGAGAAATGATTAATTATACAAGGCTATAGCATTAAGAGGTCAGTACTCGTTACATCATTCTTACAGGATCAGTAAAACTGACAATACGGCCAGAGGTTTGAGCAAGTTTTGAGGAAACTCCATCTGCAAATGAAAACTTTCTCTAAGTAGTGCTGTCCAACACTTCAACTTTCGGGACTTGAAAACACAGGTATGCAGTCATTTCTGGCCATTCCCTAAGAAACAAAGTGGGATTTTTTTTTCCCTCCTTTAAATCACTACCTAAATCATTTAGTAGTAACAGTCCATAAATATTATGAGACCAAGAGAAAGTAGTTGCCCCTTATTATCACTTAGACAATGTTTAGTTTTATCAGGAACTGTTTAAAAATACATATTTGTGTGTACACACACGTATATATGCAGATAAATATGTGTATATACACAACTCCAGAACTATTGCCCTGAACAAGTGTGTTTAAGCTATGGGAACAACATTGAAAGAAAGGATCAGGACAAGTTTTAGGTTAGTTTTATAAAATACTTGGCACCTGTTAGTTGTATCAGCCTATTACATGGCCTTATTCTTGCAAATGTCATTTTCTGGCAAGAAAAAACCCTCAGCTTCCTCTTAAAACATCATAACAGATGTAGGGTATGTCAGCATTGCTTTTTATATGGAGAAGCACAGCATAAAAAGCAGGTATGCTATTATATTTAATGGATATCACTGTGAGAGCTGCCACATAGTTGGCATGATATTCAGCACGGGAAGTGCTTTGTCTGGCACTGGTGAACACAAAGTTTCAGTGAACCAACAAGTTAGTGGCATGCACACATTCTGCACTGTCTAAAATGAGTAGCGGAACCTAGCAGCAGTTGGGGAGGCCACTTAAATCTCAAAGGATTCAGTCAAAAAGCTGTTAAGTTAAAGGCTACAGCTAGATAGCTGTTGTTATCTATAGAAGCTTTTTTTTTTTTTTCTTAACAGCTCTGGTTTCTGCTATTGGCAGTTTTCTTGAGTGTCTCAAGCATGTATATACTCTTATTTTCATTCTTATCACTGTCGAAAGCAGCTCTCATTACATCAGCATACTCTTTTTTTTCTATTAAGGGAGCATCACTGTGAAAACACTTCTCGGGAAGCCCTAACGCTGTCAGAAGAAGCTTGCCCTTTCAGTAAAAATAGAGCAGAGCTGACTGAGCAACAGTCAACAAAAAGAAGAGCTGCAATGGAAAGGAGAAATGCAGTTCCTGTGAGTACCCATAGCTGGATGAACTACATGGATACTACACAGACTACAACTCCTTTGTCTTCTTCCTAACGATGTGCCCAGGAACACAGATATTCCTGTTTCGCATGAACACTGCCGATCTTGCTCCAAGCTTTCCCAAGCTATTCTGCAGTGCAGATTAGCAGTGTTCAGCTACAGCTACAGTGCCAACTTGCACACAGATAGTTGCAGTTTCAGGATTTTGACATATGAGAAAAGCAACCAGAATATTTGAATAGGCTATTTGAAATTCTAAAACTTTTCTCCATTAAGCCCTTTTGGAATTAGCATCTGAATAGAGGAGAAAAACGAAGATTTGCAGATTAGTGGTAAACAAAGATTCCTGATAAACAAAACCTTGAAGACCTGAACTTATTATAACCATTTCCTGAAGACTAGCTTGAGACTGTCCAAAAATTTTACACTGGAGACTACTAGACATGTTTCCATCCTGTTGAGAAGGACACCTTACACTTTGAGAGTCATAGTGTTTAAAAAAAAAAAAAAAAAGCTCTCATCTCAAAAAAACAAAAAGTGGAAATTATGTTTATAAAGCTACATTTCCATGCTGTAGAGGAGAGATAGCCTCGTTGAATATATCTATTTATCTATATAATGAGTCCAGATGTTTTTTACATCTAAAAGGAAAACAATTAGATGTACCTAGCTAATGTATCTGCAGAACAGATTTATACTTGCCCACACACAGAACTACAAGTAAAAAAAAAAAGAAAGTCATGTGCTAGAGTAATTTCTTGTCCAGCCTGTCCAAAGGAAGGCAGTGGAGGGAGCCCATAAAAATTAAGAATGCTTGGACACTGAAGTACTCCTTTGAATGCAATTCTTAAGCATATAAAAGGAAAGGTCAGAAGACTGGTCTGCTATATCCATATAAGATAGAAGAAATGGGAGTGTATGCATTGCTTATCTCTCTCCCTCTCCTATCAGTAAAAAGATAGTTTTATATCTTAAAAAAACACCTTTTTTTCTGTTTCTGGAAGTGTGCAAACTAAAAAAAATATATTTTTTCATAATATGAAACAACTAAGAAATTGAAGTGGAAACTGTCAGAGGTGACTGATGGTAGTAATTTCTGGTTCTGCTAGGTGAATTTTGAACATGGGGATTCAATGACAAATCTAATGTTTACTTAAGACTATTGATCAAAAAACAGTTTTTTTTTTTCACCCTCCTATGTCTCCACATTGCAAGATTTCCTCAGACAATTCAGCTAAATATACGTTCAGATGGAATTTAGACATTACCCAAGAACCTACTGTTAACAGAGACTTAAGATTTCAGAAAAGCAGGAAAGGCATTTGATATTTTGAAAAAAATGCATTTTTTTCCTTCTCTTATTCACGATATTTCTTGCCTCTGATACACACCCACCAGAAACAAATAGAAACATCTAAATATTTACTTACTCATTAGCATTCAAGCTAGCTGTGGCTTTGATGATCATGTAGCAGAGTGTTAGGGCACTGAGGAGGCCAAAACTGGCAATAATAAACCATTCTTCTGTTGACAAAGGAAAGGGAGGAAATCACTCGTGGGAGAAGGCTTATGTCAAAGCGATGCCAATATTTCCCTCAAACACCACTGGCGGAAGGCAAGAGGCTTCTAAGCCATGACTGGCACCAGGAAGTGAAGCAGAAGGAGGTTAGCCACAGTTACTGACTGGAGAAGGCTAGCAAAGAAGAAGTGGAGAGAGGTGTGGAAAACAAGCATGGCACAACAACATTTCCTGGCTGAGCCCCAGGGTTAGTGATAAAGAAAGATTACTTAACAATGTGAAGTGAAATGCAGGAACAAGGGGAAATGTAATGAAAACTCCGTCCGCCCCCAAGTCAGGAGGAGGACTGTCATGGTTGGTTTAGGTTTGCTGAGATGCACCTCTTCACATAAGCATGCCCAATATACTTTCACACTTCATTTGCGTCTTAACACACACTCCCCTCCACCCCCTGGCTCTGAATAAATGCTATAGAGTTACTTTTAAAAACAACAAAAAAAGATAGGATCACTTATTCAACAGTAAAAACAAAACTAGAATTTTCCATTTAATAGACAGAAATGCAACAGGAAAAATAATGTCAATGTTAGTATATAAATACAGACACATTAAAAAAAAAACACAACAGACAACTATTAAAGAATGTCCACTACTCAAAGTTCTCTCCCTTTGAGATTAATTTGGCACATCGTAATGGATAGGATACAAACACTTTTGCTGAATATGGTTTTTGGTTTAACTCATATGCATCAAAGAATGCATGTGTCATCCACAAAACCTGAACATCTGAACAGCCTTTCCTAAAGCTTTATTTTATAAACACTGTCAGAATGAACTGTTGCTGATATTTCTCGTTTTATCTTGGAATCCCATCTGCACAAGATACTTACACGACAGTTGGGAACAGATAGGAAAAACACCTTCTGTAAAATTAAGTAGGTTAAAGTTTCCTGTTAAACTACAGAGTTTTTCCACCCATGACAAAGAGCACACAAACATATCTGATGTCTGTTCAATGCATCTAAGAATGTGGCGAGTTACATGTTGAACACTGCAGGACAAAGTGTAGTTACTGGTCTGGCAAAGAATCTAGATTTTGTATTTGGATTTTTCCTTCTCAGATCAAGACGTTTCTGGATATGGGCTATGTTTTTTGTGAGATGGTGTTCTTTTAGAAACACATTTACTTTGCTGCAGCGTCTAAAGAGACGCTCTGTAATGGATTGTATCAATTATACTGCTTCTTTCATCAGTGGCAAGCACTGACTTCAAATCTAGATTATAGATGCACACAGGGAAAATACAAGGAGGAAATTAGACTGCATGAATTCTATTTTTGCAGTTAAGCCAGAAAAACAACCATTCATGCATTAAATCGAGACTCCACAGCATATGGAAAAATTATGCAGTTCCACATGTCTTGTATTTGTTACAGTGCTATCATACATTAAAACCCCCAGGTAAGATCCAGTCAGTGGACATTTCCCATGCTGTAAGCTTTTATACATTAGTAGTAGAACTTCAGGAGCAGTTTTCTGAGGTCATAAACCGCTTGGACAATACTCAGATGTTGGTATATCAAATAAATATATATGTACGTTAATGTATACATATTTTAATTCACAAATTTTGTAAGAAAAAACATCTGCTAAAGGACATCAGAGTTCCAGTAGTAATGTTCACAGGGGAAAAAGTGTCTGCAGATAGAGTAATCAGCTAACGTGTTTATATATGTATGAATTGTTGCATGTAAAGTATTCTGGAAAGGTAAATAACAGTTTTGGCAATCCAGCTTCTCATACTGGTCACCAAATACAGGAGGATTACTTTGTCGCCTTTTTAGTTCATCCAGTGCTCTCTGTATGCAGCTCTAAATGGACATACTATTAATAATGAAAGCGTTGGCACTGCTGTGCGTTGAGTTCTCGGTTTCAATATGGAGCATACACAGAGACACGGAGGTCACCTCTGTCTCTGCAGGGAGATCTTTTATCATGGCCCTGCAACACAGGGCAACAGCAAAGCGAGTGCCATGTACCAGGGAAGCCGTAGAAGTGTAATGGAAGCCAAAGAAAACTTACTTGTCACAGCAATGTTGATCTCTCCTGACCTTGGCGTTAGCTCTCCGTCCTGGGGAAGCTGTGACATCCCAGAGGTGCGCAGGGGCTCCAGGCTGAGAGAGCTGTCGTTGGCAAAATCGCCCAGCGCTGATCGTCTGTTAGCTGGCTGGCTTCTGGTGAGCCTTTCCATGTCAAAGGCCACGTTATCTGTACACGGCACATTTGGCTGAAAGACAAAGCGATCCCGGCTGTTAGAATGGTGAATGTTCTACACGTAGCAAACCCATAAATTGAGCAAAACCACACAAAGACTTTATTCAGCTGCTGTGGCTACCCTCAGATCACGCAGGGGAGAAACACGTGAATTAGCAAGTCCTGTCTGAAGTTGCTGCTTCAGTTCCCTTTAAAGAAGTGGAAAAAGAAGCAGTAAAGAATAGTAAAAATTCAAGAAAGGGACTCAAACATGCTGGCATCCTAGCCTGTACCTGTGGAGTTGAGAATTGTCTACTCTTTTCCTCTTATGACTCTCCTCTGAGAGAGCATTGCTCCTACCTGGTAGTTTTTTAACTCATATGAGAAAGACAGGAAAACTTTTCCTTGAGGTTTTTCAAGTCTATTCTGTTGCAAATTGGTCAGCAAAAGCAGCCCTCTGAGATCCTATAAGCCAAGAGCCGCTTAATACACAACTGAGGAAAACCTACTGGCCTCAGCCAGGGCACACTGAGCAGCTTTGGGCATGACTCTCAATGTGTAAACAAACCTGAGCGTGTCTACAGGAGACCACAACATGAACTAGAGGTTTACAGAGTAAACCTAGAAAGGAAAGGTTGAAAGAACTTGAGAAAAAGTGAGAGTATAGAGACCATAGCAGACTTTCAATAGATTAAAAAAAAATGGAAACATAACAGAATATTCTCAATGAGCAACCAGGGAAAAGAACAAAAAATAAACTTTATCATCAGCAAAGAAATTGGTTAAAAAAAAAAAAAAAAGAAAAAAGAAAAACCCACACCCTTCTGACTAGGGGTACTGGAGCACCCTACTCCCTTCCTCCCCTAGAATCATTCCTCATTCTCTGGGTCACAGGTATAGAAGTAAGAAAAGCTTTTAAGAGTCCAACTTACCACAATTCCCAGGGCCTTCAAAATGTTCAATTTACACATTGGACACGTACAGTGCTCATTAAGCCACGGATCCACACAGGCTTTGTGGAAAACATGCCTAGGAGAGCAGAGATAGCACATATACAACTTACAAACCATTATATTATATAACGAGAACTGCTTTAACACACTTCTATATTGGTTCTTTAAGTCAGCAGAACAAATTCCAGAATTGTCAGTATTCTGTGCTAACTGCAGTAAAAAAAATCTAAAGCTCTTATTACCCGTTACTACTAGTTCACTAGGGAGACACATTTAAAATGAGGATTTTTTTTTTCTTTTATTGTGGTTATAAGCAAGCATTTTGGCAGAATAACTAGGGTAAGAAAGGCCTCATCATAACATTGTTCGAAGTCCCATCTCAATTTCTATGCAGAAGATGGCCATGAATTAGGTAGGAAGACAAATCCACCAGAAGTCAATTTTATTTGAAAGGTAGTGCAACCAACACAGACACACTTAGGTTTGATTTTGTAAGTGCTTTTATAATTAGCATGTCTAAGTGAAAGAAGAAACGAGATTTCAAAAGGCTTTTTCCTACATTTTTTCTTGCTATCTGTAAGGAAAACATGGCCTTTGTCATATGATGGTGATAGGAAACCAAAATCTTTCAAAGATAAAAAAAAAAAAAAAGGGCAAAACAAGCCTTTATTTGCACAGCAGGGAACTTTGCACTACAGAAGAGTCTGAATTGGCACCTACATGATTTGCAAAATTTTCAATCACATATATGAATATAAACCAATGTAAGGCCAAAGGACTACGCAGAGACCACAACACCATAACTAACTTAAAGGAATCATAGGAATTGTCATCCTTACTTTTCAAAATGCAAAGAACTTTTCTGAGCATACTCAAGACAGAAATAGGCGTCATCAGATTTTCTACACGATGCAGATTTAGCAAACACTCATAGCCACCCAGCCTGAATAACTGTCTATAAAAAACCTAGACCTTTCATTTCTAACAGCACTGGCTCCGGAACAAAAAGCCAGGAAGAGCAGGCAGACCCAACCAGAACACACAGGTGATCATGACAAAGATCAGCCCTCATAAGAGCTGCTTAACCAGTGAAGAGCTGGGTTCTGAAATGCAGAGATGAAGAGGCAGCAGCAGAACAAGGTGTTCCTGACATCTTTTCGAAGCATTAGCACAGGCTGTAAGAGGTCACGCATGCCTCCATAGCAGCATAAAGTGGAGATGCTCTGCCTCTCCTCCTTGCTCTGTCTCAGTAAGCTCATTGTGGCTTATCGTGGGGGTTTTAAAACCGAGAGCAAATGATGCACGTTAACAGATAATTCTCCTTTAAAATTTCTGAAGTGACTTGAGAGTAAGCTCTCCTGAAACTGTAAATAAACATGGAAAAAGGCTGTACGTAATTATGTTTAGCTACTAAGGCTGATGGAGATTCTAAAGTATACCAACATTAAGTCTGTCAGCTACAACTATCTATCTTGCCCATACTAAGTGAAGATGCATAGACTTAGAGTGTCATATAATCAACAGAAGATGCACAGGGAGCAAAAGAACCTTGTTCAGCTGTATTGCAGACATTGCGGGAATAAAAACTTGAAAAATGAACGTATTATTAGGCACGGAGGTATGCTGAAGCTGCAATTTGACAATAGTAACAGCATTTAATGCATTTCTACTGCTCTTACAGCGTAACTTCTGCCTTCCTGGCTGCTAGGAAGCACAGCGAGCAGACCTCTCTGTCCCACAGTGTACGTGCTCTGCTGAACACATCAGACTGCTTTGTCAAGCAAATTTAGCAATGTGTCCTTTAGCAATACAGACATCATGAAAAACAGGATATGTATACTGCTTACTGTTCAAGTAACTATGAAATACAAACTTCTACTGCTAATCGTTCTTGGGACATTCCCTTTAAAACAAAAAAGTTGGAAACTGTTTAGAAGTTCTGGGTGATAGAAAATGGTTTGAAATCTTCTGAAACACATAATGATGCTATTTTTCTATGTTAGGCAAATTATGGTTTTTAGTTGCTTACGTTTCCTTTTAAAATTCCAAAGTCTGTTTTTTAGAGTAGGACAAACCTGAAAAATCTCATATTTTGGGAAAGAGCAGACATCAAGACTCCACAGTAGCATGAAAACAGCTTTAATATATCGTTATCTGCTAATCAGTGCTGTAGAAGCACTCAGCTCAAGTGAAGCAGGCTGCTGGTATGGATGCCAACATGCATCCACTAAATAGTACAAGTTATTTTAAAGTCATTAGCAGTTTGATATAGTTCGAATGCACCACAATAGTTCAACTACTTTGGTGACCTCTTCGTTCTTTGCTTTTAGTTCCTAAACCTTCAAGGATATTTATTAATGTGCTTCAGAAAAGCGCAGCTCCCCAAAGGTTATGTATTGATTTAAATCAGCATTGCTCTACTATTTATGCTGTTTATCTGTCCCTCAAAAAGCTTGCTGATAACATCATCACAGCTCAGGCTCTGTCTGGATATCTCTTGCAAGAGTTAATGATAAACACATAATTACTTCTGAAACTTGGTCTGACAAAGTTATCCCATGCATTTTTCTGCCCTCAAAAAACCTTCTCCATCTTTGTATTTCTGTCATTTTTCAATAACAAGCTTTCCAAGACCAGAAACTGTGATGAGCTCCTAGCGGGATGCCCTAGGTCACAGCAGGTGGATGACATTCCCCTAGGAGCTGTGCATGGGGGAGCCAAGTGTGACACAGCTTTTGCTGCTCGGGGCTGGAGGAAGCCCGGCCGGCAGCCAGTCTGGAGGCACTGAAGGAGTCTCCCATGCGGGCATAACTCCAAACAGGTGACCTGCAGGTATTTTTCCACCCTGTCAGCATGCCCAAACCTATCGGCCTCCAGCTGGTAAAAAAACACAAAAACACTGTAACCCCAACTCTGTTGTGCAACACAGCTTCTTTGCAGCATTTCAGAGAAAAAGGGAACCAGAGAGCTCTTTCGCTGGTGTAATGCCTCTGAATTAGCACATCCCACGAGGAGGAGGATTTGAAGGTGTTTACATATTGCCTTAGGGCACTCCACTCACTGCTCCCAGCACAGCAGCCCACCCAAGAAAGCTGAAAAACTGCTGGAGGTGGTCTTCCTGCTCAGCCCAGGGAGGGCAGCCCTGGTGCCCTCAAATACTTGGTATTGCTGGGGGGAGAGGGGGGACCAGCAGGTAGCAGAGAAAAGGGCATGTGTATGTGGAAGCACTGCAGTAAGTGGAAAGGACAGCAGTAAATGTCAATTTGCTCTGTTAAATAGCTACTTGCAGCAGTACAGAATCAAAGAGATGTAATTCTGGCTTAGTCACTTTTGCCACTTACCTCCTTTTTGCCCAGTGTGGGAAATACTAAGAATTTGGCTTAAAACTCATTTCTTAACGTACTCACTTAACATTCAGCCTTGCACTATATTTTTTCTTAAATTTCAACGTCCACTGCTCTATAATCTCGCTGCACTTCGTAAAGTGTTTGCTACTCCTTTAATTCTTCCTGCATTGTGATTGTCTTCCTTCCCAGGCCATCTTTCTGCCCTTTCCAATATCATTCTCTGTGCTTTTCTCTACCTTTGCTGTCCCCTTCCCTTATCTTTCACTCACTAGCTTTCCTTCATACTACCCCTTTCCTGATTCCTCTTTACCCAGTCATGTCCTAGATGCAGCAGTGCGATGCTGAAATAAAAACTACTTGAATAAGGAAAATTGTCCACCAGGCTTTGGGATCTTTTGCTAGATTCCTTCTGACATTTGCTTACACTACTTATTTTTAACTTACATGATGACATTCACAAAAGACAACTGTTCTTCAGGCAGCGAAGTCCAAGAATGAGGGCTGCCTTATCCATGTGCACAGAAAGCTGGTTATGTCTATAAACTGCTTGTACTGAACGCAGTTCTCTCTGAAGCACATCATGCTATGAATGATTGCAAATAATAAAGTTGCATTTCTGTAATTTTCATTTTAGTTTCATTTCTAAATTGGCCATTATTTCCAACCTTTCACAAAACTTTATTTTTTTTTTATTTTTTTATTTTTTTTTTACAGAATTTTAGGTCTGCTCAGCAGATGGTATTTTGCCTGCTGTCTGTCTGTCCAAACCAGACTCTTCTCTACAGAGATACAGTGACAGACCATACTTAACTGGAGAGAAAAATTCTGGGACTGAAGGGTAACGCTACTTTTAAATTGATGAAAGCAGTAAGGATGTCATATGTCAGTGAATCCTACTGTTTAATGATTATAGCTTCCTCAAAAGGCACAGTATGAAAGACTCCTAACCTTTCATTTGCTTCCTCTTGGTTGAGCCATTTTCTCCATGATTTTCTTGCAATTTATTTTCTCATCAGTCTTAGAGACTCTCCTGAAGATTTTTTTTTTTTAAATACTAACTTTGCATGTTGCACTAAAAGGAGAGGTTGAAATGTCAGGAAGCAGAAAGTGGTTAAATCTCCAAAAGAAGACCTGAGGAGAGACACCTCAGTAGACTGAGAAGTTTTACACACAACTGAAACGTATCTGGCTCATCTCCGCAGGAACTGGTTGCTCCTTTACCCATTCAACAAGTATAAAAATGTGTTGTGGAAAGTATCTATCCCAATGTTCCCACCTAACCAAGATGGTTTTGCACTTAACTCAAAAAACTGCAGCAGATGAAAAGGGAGATTTCAAAAAGAAAAGTAGAAAGTGAACATGAAACAGCACCTTTGGCAGGACGGTAGTCTGAGACTTCAATGGCCTTATATTCTGTTTTTCACAAGAAAAGGCTCTATGGAAAAGGCTTGATTCCTCCTTTTCGTGGGTGGATTGCTCTGGAGGAGGCTGTGTGGAGGCAGCAGCCAGAGGCACTTTCATGCAGCTCCCTGGAGCAGCTGTGACCAGGGAGCTTCCTGGCTGCAGGACCATGGCTCACAAAAAGGGTCTGAAGGAAATGGACTTTTAGAAATAAGTGATCATCCTGCTTAAAAGGTCTTTGTCATATCTGCTGATACCAGCAACACATCTATTGCTTGGACAGTGGCGGGTGTTTAACTAGTGCAGTTGACTTTTAGTCCCAATTTTGCCTCGTGTTTAGTGGGAGAAGGTGGCTGCCTGTCAGCTGAAGACTCTTCATTGGCCAAAATATCTCTGCCCTCTGCTCATTATCAGAGAGAAAGACATACAGGAGTGGGACTTCTGAACATCCATTGCATACTCTTGAGCCTCACAGTACCTACTCCGAATTACAGAAGTGACGTTTTCTTGAGAGGCAGTTTATCCACCACCTTAGTTCAAAACTGGTGAGCAATTTCCAGACGTTTCTCCTCTAGTTTCTAAATAATCTTCCTTGTAAATCAAAGACTAGTGCAAAACTTCCATATGCAAGCTTTACTTGAGATTACAGTGACATAACTCTGAAATCTCAGCTACTGGGAGTGCATTTTAATGGGCAAGAGGACATCATCTTCAAAGGAGTAAACATCACTGAACTGTAGAATAGAAACACACATCCATCTGTATGACCAAAACCTCCCAGATTTTATTTTTATTTTTACTTACACACAGATCTGACTGAGCTCTTCTACTTCCAAGTATTTTAATAGGAGTTTCTAAACAAACATTTGTAGGTTATAGTAGCTAAACACAACACTGAGAATCTAAAGCAGTTCACTGTTTCCCACAGAGTCCAAGAGGTAAAGAACAGAGAAAAGAAAGATGAATTAAACTTTGTTTCAGAATTAGCATACATACGTATTTTGATCGGTAAGATATAAAAGACTGTTTTCCTTTTATCATAATAGGAACTCATTATGCATTAGAAGAAAAATTATTCCAGCTACACAGAGCAGCCTGCAGGAGGATTTACGAGACTGATAATGAGCTGCTGTGCACTGCTGCTGTGTGACTGAAGCTCGACTCCAACACTGTGACTTAGATGCTTCTGGCGCATCATGCGTAACACTATTTATGTGCCAAGCACAGGCCAAATTAGTGGAACTTGGCTGCACGTGTGCAACATAACTTAGGTATTTTTTGTGTCTGGAGATACAAAGAAAGCTTTGTGTTTCAGAATACAAGGGAAAGATGACCTTGGTAACACTTAAAGCTACCAAAAATTACTGATTCATCGAAACCAGTCACCAGGAGAAAAAACACTTAAAAGCATCTCTCAGAGAGCAAATATCCTGTAACAGCTCAAGAAGAGAAACAAACTGAAAACATGTAAATGTCAAAACAAAAAGCTGTTACATTTTAAGCACCAATGCAGAATACCCAGCAAGTAGTAATCTTCAAGCACAAGCCTAGACCACATTGCACTGGAGAGACCAGAGACAGATGATAGCAAAGCAGTTGATTGATGTCAGAGGAGGTATGAAGGTTGGAAAGCCTGCATTTCTGTTTCCTGCACTGTTTTAGAAACCCACAGCCACTGTGCAGAATGCTGCAGCTATACCTTGTTCATCATACTTTGATTTGTGTAAGCCCACTGTTCCGTCTCTAAATCTGCCCCCACCCCCATAACAATCTTAATAGCTCCACTGCCGATATGCCTGAACTGCCCATCTTTAAGATCATGCTCTTGTTTAATGTCCAGTGCTAATAACCGTGTCAGCATCCGCTTTCACACCTGGTTTCATACTGAGTCTAAAATAAAACGGCTGTTATTGGGTCAGGAAATATCTAACAAACGCGTCTATAAATTGCAGCGTGTATTTAACATGAAACAAAGCAAAGGAGCATGAAGAACAGTTTCCAAACAAAGCAACTTTACTAGCTTACTTGCACGGTAAAATGCGAACAACATCGTTCTGCTTGTAACTCTCGATGCAGACAGCACAATGATCAAAGTCTGGGTCTGTTTCCTAAAATGAATGGAAAGGAAATTCGAGTCAAGAGTTTAGGCTATGACAAAGGTAAAAGTAGTTGTGATTAGTACGTGAAGTGTGTTGTGCCAGAGTGGCTATTATTAAGAAGATACAAAAGTAATGACTACGTGGTTAAATTCCAACATGACTTGAAAAAAAAGAAATGTAATCTCAAATGTAATCTCAACTATCCCCTCATTTGGAGTTGTTAACTGACCATTTGAAGCACAAGCTAAGGCCTAAGATGTTTATAATATTCGGCTGAATCACCAAAATATGGTAGGGACTTTCCTACAGTGATTACTTCAGCTTTGAGGTAAAATCCTTTTTTTTTTTTTTTCTCCTCTGGGGGGAAGTACGAGCATTCTGGGATTCCCTTTTATAGCCAGAACTAGGGATTTTTACTTATTTCAGGGGAGTCCCATGTTTTTGTGCACTGCTTACTGGCAGAATTATCATCTTTTTATGCAGACATGAAGATGATGACCAGTGACTGGCTGCTCTCCTTTCTGTTTTCCAAAAGCTATGGTATCTTACTCATTTTGTAAACCAAATGAGAATTTAAAACTTCCACTGAAAAAGGGCTGGCTTCATTTGGACATAGCTATGGCACCAGCAATATATATATTTAAATTCTTGGGCCCGAGACACAAAACAGACCGTGCCTTCTGTTCCATCAAGTTCATTCTTTCCGCAGCTAGCGAGCTACTAGCGGAACAGCGAGCCTGGAGCTGCTGCAAGGCAGCCAGCCACTGCCTGGTCAGAGCCAGCCACCCTGCACGCAGAGAACCCCATGGGCTGCTCTGACAAAGGGCAGGCTTTGTCATATGCTCTGCCCACCTGCATGTGCATCTCACTCTGTACTGCAGCCTACACCTGGTTTTGAAGACAGCATCTTTTCTTTCAATACGGAAAATTTGTGTTCCCATACCCACAGAAAAGGTTCAGTGTAGGAGGCTGCCTTGAAACAAAACTCCTCCCCACCCTCAGGTTACTTCATATTCATGTTTCATATGAGATTGTGCTTTATTACCTGCCTTTTAAATTCTTTTTTTTTTTCCACATAAATTACATACAAAGTGATTCTAAGCTTACAGCATTTCACATAAACAGTGCTAGCCCCATGTACTCCTACCAGCAAAAACACTCAGCCCGCTAGCACACAAAACCACTCTCAGTCACAGTTACCAGATGGAGTGCAAGAAGTACTTAAGCAAGAAAAACTCTTGAAATGTGCAGACTTACAGCATACATCAATACTAAAAGTTACACAAAAATATTGTGCCGTAAGATGAAGCAAGTCTCCAACAAGGAAGGTGAGATCATAAATCAGAAGCAAAAGGAAAAGCTGAGAAGTAAACCATTTCCCCTGATAAAAATTAATGATGTTCAAGTTTATCATGTTGAAATATTATACCTTATCACCCTTCTTTACTGTCCTGGTTGTCAATTTACCGATGGCTTTCTTGGCAGCATCTCCAAGACGACGCTAATGAAGTGAGAAAGAAGAAAACACAAATTAACCCAGATAATCAAGCTTTATTACCATCGTTTATAATGGCTTACTTGTGCTAGATAGTAACATTGCAATACACGCCGTGGTGGTGGACAAACACACAGGATAAAAAGCGTACACAGCAAAGCCTGCAATTGCAGGTTTGTCAACAACAAAAAAAATCCAACAGCAGAACACAGGAAAGCACTTGACACATGTGGGCATGAACCTCACAGACTACATAAGAGTCCACAGCAGTTACCCAACATGTGTGTGACAAAGCTAATGACACCCTGCCCACAGGATACGAGCTGAAGCAACATGCCTTCCTGGTGATTTCCGGGATCCTGGGCTCATATTGATTTTTATTCAGTGTGCTAGAATACACTCTGTTCTCTTAAGCTCTTTTTTTTTTTCCTCCCTGAGCAGGCTGATCTTATTCTGAGACATAACAGATCCTCAGCGTAACCTATTTTCTCTCCTGCTATTACCTGAAGCAACCACTACCACAGAAAGCAAAAATTTATGGGTCACAAAATCTGAAAGAGACTTAAATAAAGCTGAAATGAACACTGGTTTAAATATTAACCTCAATCTGACTGCACAGCCCGAGCTATTTTTGCTGTTTATGTTGTTTTCATGACCACCACCGTCGGATGGAGGAGCCATTCCTGCGCTTGCAGCGCTGGTTCCTGCTGCAGTGCCCGGTTCCCAGCCAACTGGGGATGGCTGCTGGCCAGCTGGTTCGTGGGATCCCAGAGCCAGGGCAGTAAGCAGCACCGAGCTCGTGTTTTCTTGTTTCAGGAACTCGAGACGTCAGATTGGGTTTACATTTACTGGAAGAAAGGAAGTTTGCGTTCTTCATCCTTCACCTACCTTGTAATAAGCACTCTGCTTTTGACAGCCAGATTCTGAGAATGCAAAAAGAAAACACCGAACACTCCCATCCAGCTTGGAGCATTTTGGGTGTCCACAAGTGGGCATTTTGTGTGTCCACCTCCAATATACTTGAAAAATCAAGTTCTTCTTCAGTTTCCCCCCATCCCATACACTTATTTTTGCATACAAGCCGAAGCTCAGAAGGCTGCTTTTACTTGATAAAGACCTCAGGAGGCCACTACAACTGTGTTTATTGCATCAGGATCACTGTACCAACATTACTCAGGGATTATATAAGCACACAATTTTGGGGGTTTCACAGAACAGCTATTTTAAATTTTTTAGGACATGGATTTGAAATACATACTACAGTGTTTGGAGCCTAACACACTATCAGGAACAAAGGTGGGAAAGGGAAATTTTACGCTTCCTGAAGTCAGATATCTCATCCTAGCTTCACCATGTGAGAAACTAGTTAATTTAGGTAAATCTAAATTACATATCCCAGAACAAGCACGTTGGCTGAGTACCTAATGCCCAGAATACACTGGAACACTGCTGGACTGGATTATCACTGCACAGCCAAGCATGATTGCTTAAGAGAACACTGAAAAGGCAAAGTGAGGCATTTCACTTAAATGCCACCTACCACCTACATAATAGCAGGTGGTATATGTGCTTATACTGCATACATTTCTAGTTGTGCTATATGAAGCCTTTCAGAAAGAATATAGAATCACATCTTCATGTCAAAACTATTAATGTCAGAAAAACTCTTTCAAAATGTGTGTATTCTCATATAAACTATATAAAGAAATTTGACAAACAGTAACTTTCATTTCTATTTAAGAGACTCCTATTTAAGAGATTCATCTCTTCCACTTTCTAATTTTAACAAATAATTTTATATGCTAACTTTGGAAACACTCAGCATTTGCTATTTTGTTAAGTTAGGGCACAGGCACACAGCATATACTTGCTTTTAAAGCCCTACAACCACCTTGATGGAAAAGGCTACCAGTACATGCAAAGGAGTTTCATACTTCTGGCGGAAATGTACAAGAGCAATCATGTGAAATACCGGTATCTACTTGCACTATCTATAAAACACTGCATGTTTTTGATGTCCTTTAAAAAAGCGTGCCTCTAGACATAAGCTGTGATCTTGTTTTTCAGTTAAAGCAAGTTATTTCATCGCTAACAGCACAGCCTTCTCTCGGAGAGCTCTCAAAGCTCTTCAAAAATAAGCTGTAGCTGTCGCCACCTTCTTATTAAAGTTTAATACGCTCAGCTTTTTAAACCACATAAAATTTTCATCAAGTTTCTCCTGACCTTTGTAAAAATCTAAAGAAAGAAAAAAGGTCATAAAAGCCCTCTCCCCAAGGAGCAGCTGTTTTGAAACACGGACATTTGGAAGAAGCCTAGAACCATGTAGGGGATGCAGCGGGCACAATTTAGTATTCCACAGATATTCATTCAGTAACAGTTATATTTAAACTTTTACCATCCCAGGGGACCACGCTAAGTACCAGCTACAGCGTGGTCATTTAAGAATGACATCCTTAGGAAAATCTACAGAATGCCCATGGGACCTGCAGCATCAGACACTATTTCTAGAAACTGAAAAGGAAATCCTTTTTGTCACAACTGTGGCTTTGTAGGTTTGCATTTGTTTTAGGTTTGACAAAGTGCTTTAAAGACCCGAAGTGCTGCCCCAGTGAGCCCTTATGTGTCCCCTAATATGGGACAGGACTAGAGGTTGGCAGCTTTATAAGATAATTGACAGAGATACACAGAGACAAAGAACACAGTGGTTTTCCTGAGGTTTACTGACCCTTCTCAATAACAGCCAAGGCACGCTAGGAGACAGTGGGTCATTAAGTCCACGCTAGTAAAACATTTACTTCTAAAGTTTAATCCATGTTTAAGTTGATGACTTCATATATTCAAAATATCTGAGTATGGGCACACTTAATTGATTCAATTCAGACGTAAGCTCTTATGTTAGATGTGAAAGAGGATGTAAGAAAGGCAAACTAAGCAATATTTTGTCCAGTATGTGTGACCAGGAGAATTAGACAGTACACATCAAGTATCATCTTGATGAAAGCTAGAAGATAGCGCAGGTCACCTCTATCCCTTAGTTTTCTTACCCTAATGTTCATGCATTTATAGCTGTTGTATAAAGGCATTCCCAAACTGAATTGCCTGATTTATTACTAAAGCTATCCTTAATAACATGGATAAAATTAATGATATGAGTTCCATGTTCTACCACACCATACAAGCTCATTCACTATTTAACTTCCCTCTCCATCCCCAAATGTCCTTTTCAAAAAGAAATAATATGCTGTACAGTACGTATTAGTTAGCCAGCACAGTTTCTCTCTTCCTCTTTGACTTGCACTCAAAAACAAATATTTTGCCTCCGTTCTTTTCTTTCCTGTCATATAATAATAGCTTGTATTGGTGCTGCTCAGGACAGTAACAATCTGCTATATAAAATCCCTGCCAAGAAACATGCTCTGCCTCTGAACAAAGTGGTTTTCAACACTAGTTTGATGGACATTCCTAAGAAATTATTAATTCTCTATAGACTACTGTATACAGAAATATCACCTCAATTTAACAGGGAGAAAAAAGCGCCCTTACCTGATTCCTATCACGTGCACTTGTGTACCTGATCTTCTGGATGAAGTAAAATATTAACCATGCTGAAGAAATTATCATCAAAACAATGAAAGATATTGACACAAAGACTAGAGAGCCCCGACTGAAGTTTTTTGGAGGAACACGGGATCCCACTGCTATTGCCATCAGGACAGAGATGTTCTTTTCCAAATAGTTCAGGATCTCCTTGACCTTTGATTCTGTAATCATGACAGCAACAATGTCTCCAGTTCCTATAAAAAGAGGAAAAATACTTAATTCATATTTAAAATTAACATCACCTGCTACTCACAAGATTTTCTGTATGCAAAACAATTTGACAACTTAAAGAATTTAATCTATGCTACCTATGGCATAAGGAACATGCTACCGGGCACTCAACTCGAGGCTTACCCTTCAAACCCAGGTTTTCAAACTAGGGCATTAACATGCAAACTGTTTACAGCTCCACACATCGTAACAGGTCTCCACCAGTTAGATTAAACAGTACTTCCCACGTTGTAACTACTGCGTGCAGTCTGAACTCATTTTAGGGAGCACATTTGTTCCAGATTGGGAGCTGTGATTACCTGAATAGGCAACTCACAGAAAAAAAAAACACATTTAGAAAATGAGTGGTCTTGGTGCACACAGAGCTGAGTACAAGCTGCTCTGGAGAGTTAGGCAAGTTCCCCGATGCGGTTATGAAGATTGCATGTACCAGAAAGATTGTCAAGGACCTGCAAATCATAATTCCACCAAGGATGCAACAAAGCCAAACTTCTACCTGTACCAATTCTCTGACAGAAGTGAAAGCAAAGCAAATAAGCCTGGCTGGAAAGTGGAGCAGAAATGAAAAAACTGACCATAAGTTTGAGTAATGATTTTATCATCCATACAAAGACGTGCTCAGTAAGGTAGCGATCAGCTTCATCAACTCCATTTTGACTGCCTAGCCCATCTGGTTTTTGTAGTGCCTTGTCCCTAGTCCACCTCACATCCCAAAGGGAAAATCCTTAGCACAAAAACCACAAGAATCAAACTACAAAACCAGACAAAAAAGAATGAAATCTGCAGAGCAAAGAGAGCACCTCTGCTTTAAATGCAGAATTCCCCCGTCCCCTGTGAAAGGAGATCTTTAACTCAGAAGAATTCTGATCTAAATTCAAAAGACAGCAAAATTTATATTAAAACCAAAGCAACAACAACAAAAAAAAACACCTTTGAGTGCCATTGTTCTTCTTCCAGATCTGTACTGAAACCCTTTTTTCAAGACCTATTTTCAAAATGTGTGCAAAGCCTGCTCAGCTGTTCTCTCCATCTGTTTGCTCCAGTTCACATTCCCTAGGAGAGGAACTGTACAATGCAAGAGACTGCAGCACCCAGATTCTGGCTTTAGAGTAGATTGGAGTTGCAGAGAAATTTGTGTGACAGTGAACAGAGAACATTAAAAAAAAATATTCTTTGCATTAAAAGAGGATTTCAAGTCCCTTAATCAAAATTGTCTTCTTCAGAAGTTACTGTACCCAGAAAATGAAGGAGAAATGCCAAAAGAACAACATTGAAACTGATGAAGACAGGGTGACAGTCTCTAACAGCTAATTTTCCAAAGTGGGGGCTTCAGAGCTGTGTAAGTCTTTTAAGCGTTACTTCATTACTCCTTTCCATTCACAAAGCTCAAAAGCTTTGAAGCAGCAACCCTGCACCAACACGATCTACGCAAACAAAATCACCAGCACACCAAAATTCACACCAAGCCCGCTGCAGACCAGCTCTCCACAGCCTCTTCTATTCAAGACCTGTTAGAACCCAAACTCAGTTCAAGATTATTAATGAACTGCAAACCTCAGAAAACAGAATAAAATCCCACTGCCTGCTTTGTTTGAGAAGAAATCTATTTGGATTCTTGCTTGCCCAGCTGGGAAATGTCCTTGCCCAATCCTGCAGCATTTAGGACAGGACAAAAGGCACCTTTCCTGCAACTTAAAGATCCTGTACGCAGATGCAGCACGTGCTCCTGCAACCCTCAAAGCCAGCCTACAGCCCAGATGCTGCAAGATCAACCAAGAACAGAGAACTTGATCCTGATTGATATTCTCCCCAGGCTTCACCTCTGTTCCTCACATCTGGTTCTGATAGCGAAGGAAGGGCAGAGGGACCGTTTTCCCCAGAGCACGCGTTCTGCTGTACTTCCCCAGTAGGTATTTATTTGGACCACTGAGTTATGTCAGTATCAAAGGATCTGTCAGAAGCACTCGATGCAGCATTCTGACATGATTTATAAAGCTGTCCGCGAGGCAGAGCTGACTCAGATCTGATGCTAGTCCAGTGCCGTCTGAATTAAAAGCTGAAGCCTCCACCTATTCCCTGCTGCCCAGGGGATGTGACAAGGCTGACAATCTGCCACACGTTTTATATAAGGCCCGGCACAAAGGGAACCTCTGGCGTCTCTGCGAAGCGATTTGCATTCCAAATGACTCAACTGGGAACAGCCAAAGTGCTACTGCCGCTTCTGACCCTGTGAGAGCCAAGGAGAACTGCAGAAAAAGAAAAATAAATCGTGCCTGTTTAACATACTGAAGCTCAGTGGAAACTGGGACTTGGTTCATCCATATTTCTGTCAGGGGCATCACCCTAAATAATTATAGCAAAAGCTCCCTGCTTGAGAAGAATTGGGGGCAGGAGGAGACACGGACTCGTTTATTTTAAGCACCTTGAAATCCTGCATTTCTGAAACCTAAGCAGAAAAAAATCCTCAGGTGAATAGCACTGTGTTTCTAAAAGTTAGAATATGGTCTTTATATATAAATTTTATGAGAAGAAATGCTCTCCTGAGCCAAGAGCAGTGTTCAGTGATAAGAAGCTGGAATGCTACCTAAAGCCAAGGAACTGAGCACTCAACCAGAGACAATAAGCTAGGACAGACAGCAGACCTAAGATAAATACTGAATATTGACCCCTGTACATATTATAAATCATTTGTTATCATCCACGCCCAGATAGCTGTTTTTAACTTGCAATTTTACTGTGTGCATGCTTATTAGGATAATTACACAACTCTGTACGAAAAGGAAGTTGTGATTCATCATTGGAAGTGGGCAATATTACATTGGGACAGGAGAAGAGAAGGATTAAACATCTGGGAGGACACTAAGACCACCAAGATGGGAAGAGCAGCAACAACCAGAAGTTTCCTGTAGTGCTCCTGAAGAAATTGCTTTGGCTCCCTCGCTAACCACACCTCCTGGCAACTCCAAAAGAGCAACTTTGGAAAGTCAATAAAGTCATCTCAAAGAAAGATTACCGGTCTCATCACTAGCAAATAGTTGTTCCCCCACTTTTTGTGTTGATTCTTGACTACCAAACGCTTCTCTGAAGCTCTAAATACAAACAACTGTGGCCAGGATAGCAAGTTAAAGACAGGTGTGGTTCAGAGAGCAGACTTCAGACACCTTCCATCCACCTACTGTCCCTTGGAGGACACAGGCAATGGCAGCCTGACAAAATGCAACTAAGCAGCTGTTTTTTTTTTTTTTTTCCTGGGCTTATGAACAGCCCAAGCAGCTGTCTGGTCAATGCTGGGGAAGAAGGGAGGCTGACAACTCCTCCTGGGCATCTGAGCTGCTGCCAGTGCCGCAGTGCTGCAACCAGCTCCTGGCAGATGGGAGGGCCAAGCCTGGAATCCCTCCTCCAGCACAGGAGGTACAGGACCACCTGTAAGAGGCACTGCCCTGCTTTGATTTGATAGAACAAGGTTTGCAGAGAACTGGGAATTAAATCAGGTGCTGGTAACAAAGGTGAGCGCTTTTCTAATGGCTGGTATTTTCAGCTGAAGTCCTTGCAGTTTCCTTAGCCTTCGATTGCACTTGCTGATGCTTGTTGTAGACACAGCACGAAGCAGATAAACTGCACTCCTCTCACACTTGCAAAAGTATACTGTTCTCTTCCAAAAGTAGACAATATTTAACAACCAAAGATTCTCATTACTTTACTCTGAAAAAATAAACTTAAACAGATTTATTGAAATCTTTTTTTTTCCTGTTGGAAATTTCAGGGTACTTCCTTTAAAAAACACTTAAAATCTCCACCTCCCTAATAAAGGTAAGAAATAAGGCAGGCAGCTCCTTAAGGGCTGGATTCCGAGCATGATCCAGACACCAAAAACCAAATTGCAATGATGTAAGCATCGTAATAATAATCTAATTGGAAATAAAACTGCTCATCTTCACAAACCATTACAATTCCGTAATTAAGCATTTCTGAACATGTATGAGACAAACGTACAGGTGCCCAGGAAAGGGATCGATTCCATTACCATACCAGATTTCTTAGAATAACATTAAGTAGCAGTGAGACCACCACAAACAGCAGCTACGTTAGGGCTGATGGGAAATGCTTTTGTTCAAGTCATTTTGGAACTCTAATAACCCTTTTAAGTCATATTCACCAATAGCTTACAAGGTAAGGACATACTGGCACTCTAATAAAGACCTATTGGACTGTTGAAGCCTCCTGACCCACATGGAAAACACCATCACCATAGTCTAGTTTTCAGCTGTTGAGTAGTGAACGTGTCAATGAACAGCTCCAAGACTCTCCTGTGAAGTGACCTTGCAGAGACAGGCACAAATTAAGAAACTTATAATCAAAGGAAGAATATAACCGCCTTTTCCCCCAGGAGAAAGTCTCTTAAAACCAGTTTACAGGTTTGAAGGAGGCTTGTTCCTTTCTATCATCAACAGAATAGGCTGGGAGAGGGAACTGTCAGAAAGTTGCTTCAGAAGCCCTACTTACATAGGCAAGAAGGATGGTAATTGAGGAGATTAATGCAATTCTGACAACCTATTGGCCAACAGTGATGGAATTTGGGAGCCCACAAAACATCTACGAAGAAAAGAGAAGAGCACAAAGGAAGTGCTGCTGTTATTTATGAAGTTCTGGGACCGATTGGGAGTTCTGTGAAAACACCAGAAGACACCTGCATTGGAGGGAGCGGAGGGGAAGCTGCGTTAGGAACACCAAAATGCACACTGAAAGGGTGGTCATCTAACCATAAGGAACATTTTACTCTGCTAGAAATAAAAGGTATGCAAAATTAAGGAAAAGCAGAAACAAGGAGTCTGACTACAAGTCAGAAATTAAAGAAAAACAGACAGGAATGACAAATAAAGTTGACACAAGGGGGTATGTTGATATTCAGAAAGACCTCTCTGCTTATTTAAGGATGATACTTCCAAGCTCAGGTGTTTATCCA